TGAATTGTATTTGCCGGTTTCCAGGCCTCTGTTCTAGAGACTTAATTGTATGGAGAAGTTACATTTGTAATGTAAAAAGATTTGAAACTTTACATTAAAAGAGGAATCTTGGGTAATACTATACAATCCTTGTGAGCATCAAATGCCTAAAACTATTTGTCCCAGTTTGTTTGGCTTCCTCCCTAAAAATATCAATTCAGGCAGAGATATTTTGTTCAAGCTCCTCAGCAAGACTTAGCGTCATTTAGTACAGGGCTTTTCAGTTGGTGGTACGCGTACCACTGGTGGTACGCTTACCATGGGTTGGAAAGCACTGTAAAAAAAGGTGTAAAAAAAGTGTAAAAGTATAGTGTGGGGATGAGCTGAAGCAGCAGCAACACAGCACAGGCCTGTGGGAGAGCCAGCTGGAGCCATGGTGTTGCCAGGGCTCTGCTGAGTGCCCAGGATCCGCATTAGGCTCCAGCTAACTGGTACTTCCGGAAGCTGCGCACAGCCTGGGAAAAGGAGTCAGTTGCAGCTACACCAAAGACAAAAGTAGGGGGGGATAGACATGCCCGCGGGGTGTTTATATTTGGCTCCAGGCCGCCCTGGAGACAGCGAGGGGCCGGCCCACCCCAGCTTGCAATCAAAGGGAAACCCTGAATCCAGTGGGCCAGAAGACAGCCCAGCCACCGCGCCCCTCCAGTTCCTTCTCCTTGCCCCCTGGGCACAGATGCAGTCGCCACTCCTTGCCATAGCTGGGGCAGGACTTGCAAGTACCTCCATCCTGCAAAGCAGTGCTCCCCCCCCCCCACCATGCCGGAAGCCCCGACTAAAGGCTGAGCACTTCAGCCTCACCTTGCCAAGGAAGGAGGCAGCGGCTGAGACTATGTCCGATTTGCAGCTTGTCAGCGGCGCTCAAAGGCTGCCCAACTTTACTCTGGAATTCCGGAGTTGGAAAGCGAAGGGGCAGTGCCGCATTTGCAGGTCTGGAGGTATCTGCGGGGGGGGGGGAAGCAGGGGGCTTTCAAGCAAGTACTGTCAGGCCTGCAAAAGCGGCGCTGCCCCTCCGCTTTCCAACTCTGGAATTCCAGAGAAAAGTTGGGCAGCCTTTGAGCGCTGCTGACAAGCTGCAGATGTGCTGTAGTCTCGGCCACCGCCCCCTTCCTTGGCAGGGTGAGGCTGGAGCGCTCGGCCTTTAGTCGGGGCTGCCGGCATGGTGGTGGGAGGGAGCACCGGGGGAGCGCCATTTTGCAGGGCGGAGGTACTTGCAAGTCCCGCCCCAGCTACAGCGAGGAGCGGCGACTGCGTCTGTGCCCAGGGGGGTGAGAAGGAACCAGAGGGGCAGGGTGGCTGGGCTGCCTTCTGGCCCACTGGATTCAGGGTTTTTCTTTGACTGGGGGCGTATGGCCTGACCCTGGCCGAAATGCAAATCCCTCTCTAAGCAGGGATTGGGAGGCTGAAGGCCTCTACCTTTGTGGCCATGCAGCTCTGAAATTGATGGGCTGCTCTGGGGAGGAGAATCAAAATAGGGCAAAACAAGCAAAGTCCACCATATTTTATTGATTGCAAAGTTTTCCTCGGGTTTTCCTATCCCTTCCTGGGCTATTAAAATCACATTGGCAAGGTCTGTACTGAACACTTGGCCGAAAACTACTCAACCAGATTTTAGCGTAATCCCTTGTGCAATCACAGGCCACATTCTGGAGGTAAGAGGATGTAGTAACAGGAGAGAGCTGCAAAATTGATTCGTTATTTATTCTTCTCTTTAGCAGCAATAACTACGTTCTTTGACCACTTTGCTAGCAACCTGTAGGCTGTGAACTTTCCTTTCCCCCTTGGGAAAAGAATTCAGGAGTGCTAGATTTATTTTTCCTGCTAATTACAGTATACCTTGTGGGTTTTTTAAGAGCTTATGAGAAAAAGATATGTCTGAAAATTAAAGGATGTATGGATTGAGTTGTGAGACAGGGAAGGGAAGTACATGGACTTATGCACTTCCAGTTGCTGACCGGTGTGCCACTAATATTCTGACTGGATACCTGCTTGCTCTCAGGGCCCAAAGATTATCTTCATTCTTCATTGGGCTGTATTGTGGATTAACTAATTTTTTTCTGGGTTCTGATTTTAAGGTGAATATCCTGAGCTATGGAGGCCTTTGATCTTCTTCTTAAATACATAATAATAAAATAATGAGAACTAAAGGCTCAAAGGGAAGGCAGATTAGAAAGAACAAGACCTTTGGGGGTCTTCAATTCCCTTCCTGTTAAGAGTTCCTTAATAAGGTTTGCTCTTCCTTCCTAACATCAATAAAGCTGGGGTTTTTTCAGAAAATATGTGAAGAGCTATAATTAATGATTTAACTATGTTTTCTTTTTGGCTGTGTTTTAATTTACATATAACCTATATTTAATTGAGGAGGGCTTGGAGAGGTAGAAGTGGCCAGTATGGAAGCTGCACCTTGCCCTCCAGATCTGTCTCCCCTGCAGATCTCTGGAGAGGAGGAGGGGTGGCAGGGGAGCTGTGTGAGGGAAGGCTGCCCCCAAAAGCCAGCATCCTTACCACGCACAATTGGAAATAGGAATCCCCTTTCGAGAAGAGCCAGCCTCTCTTGTGCAGGACCCGGGAGTGCAGCTCCCCTGCCACCTCCTCTTGCTCTCCAGAGATCTGTTAAGACAGAAGTTAGACTCAGAGGAAACTGCTTCCTGCAAACATCCTCCACCTCCTGCTTTGCTGGGAGGGGCCACCGGACAGGGAAACACCAACACTGTCTGGGATTGGGAAAAGAATGTCTCTTTAGTGTGCTATACACACACACACACACACACACATTTCAAGCTTGGAGACTTGTATCCACATCTGAGCTAGCAAATTGCCAATCATGCCTGGGCTTGGGGAGAAGGCCCTCTCCTTCCTCTGTGGATAAAAGTTCCCATACCTGGAATGCGGTGTGTGTGTGTGTGTGTGTGTGTGCACGCACTTGGCTGCTAGCAATTTGGGGAGATGAGTTTGTGGGGCACCGAGTTAGCCAGTGCGACTTGTTCCATTCCGACCCAGCTGTCTTGAGTCAGCTGCGTCCAGTGAGTGGCATCGAGTAGGCCACGCCCACCTGCTAGGCGACTGGTGGTACTCGAATACTGCCATATCATAAAAATGGTACAATCTCTGAAAATGTTGAAAAGCCCTGATTTAGTACACTGCTGTTTATTGCTTGGCTAACAGTCTGATGGGACGGGCTTAGTTCTTCTGGCATCAGAACTTCGTGACAATAAGATCAGTGTTTGTAGTTCAAGACTCACCTTCCTCATCTCTTCTTTCCATTTTCTAAAAAGTTTGTCTTCTTTCATCTAATAATTTTGTGACCATTCCCCATGCAGTCACCCCCTTGGATTTCCTGATACCGGGCAAATTCTCCCCTGACCTGATCTGCAATATACAATATTTGGGGACAGCTGTCAAAAGACTGAGGGAACAATAGCCACCCACTTGGCCTACTAAGGGCATTTCCAAGATTTCCACTTGGTGATATAGCATGTCTTTTTTTTTTTTTTTTACAATCTTTTACACTAACTACAAACTGATGGGGTTTTTTTTACTCTCAGCTGAAATACTATTTTTTTTCTCTTCAGCTGAGATTTTATTTTCATCTTTTATTCATCTGTCATTTTTTAATACATCTGTGGATTGCAAACTATATCTACAGGGCAATCTCACTTTCGTCGACGTCCTACTTCAACATTAGCCACAGGAGGGATCAAAAGGAGAACTAAGAACTCCGAGAACTAAGAGAAACTTCCTGACAGAACAATTAACCAGTGGGATGGCTTGCCTTCACAAGTTGTGGGTGCTCCACCACTAGAGGTTTTTAAGAACAGATTGGACAGCCATTTGTCCAGAATGGTATAGGGCAGGGCTTTTCAACCTTTTCACCCATTGTACCACTTTTAGGATATGGCAATATCCGAGTACCACCAGTCGCCTAGCAAGGTGTCAAAAACTTGATGACTCCCCCCAAAAAGGAAAAAAGTGATAAAGTACAGATAGTCTTCGACTTACAACAGTTTGCTTAGTGACTGTTCAAAGTTACAAATGGCACTGAAAAAAGTGCACCCCCAAGCCACAGCCGAGCAAGACACCTGCCTGCCCACCTGGCAGCGCTCTTCCTTCTGTCCGAGGTTTTCATTGTTGTGAGCATTTCTGTTGAGGATTGGCAGCGGGGGTGGGATGGGGGGTGTTTGGTTTTTATCCCCCCCCCCATCTGCTGGGTGGTTGCAGCAGGTTTTGGTCACTTCACATGACCCTGGGACACTATGACCATCATAAATATGAATCAGTTGCCAAGCATCCGAATGTAAATCACAAGACCCTGGAGATGCTGCAACATTCCAGCTGATCAGCGCTTCTTCTGGGCTCAGCAGAAGCGCCAGGATCAGTGCTGCTTTCCAGCTGATTGGTGCTTCTTCGGGGCTCAGCTAAAGCACCAGGATCAGCGCCGAGCTCCAGCTGGAGCCTGGCGCTGATCCTGGCACTTCCGCTGAGCCCTGACAGCCCTGCAGCTCCAGCCATCTCTCACTCAGGCTTGTGCGGTGCTGCCATCGGTTCAGCTCATTCCCCTCCCCCGCTACTTTTTCTGGGATGGTCGCGTACCACCTGCCAGGTGCCAATGTACCACAGGTGGTACCCGTACCACTGGTTGAAAAGCCCTGGCTAGGGCAGGGGTAGGCAACCTTGGCTCTTTTATGACTCGTGGACTTCAACTCCCAGAATTCCTGAGCCAGCTTGGCTGGCTCAGGAATTCTGGGAGTTGAAGTCCACGAGTCATAAAAGAGCCAAGGTTGCCTACCCCTGGTTATAGAGCCTTGGGTAGGAGGTTGGAGTAGAAGACCTCCAAGGTCCCTTCCAATTCTGTTATTCAAGCCTAATCATTCCCCGATCGCTCTCTCGGCAAAAAGACAGCGGCTTCAACCGCTGCTATTGAGCATGCGCTGCTAAACGGAGCATGCTCACTTTGTCCCAGGAACGGAGGTCGAACAAGGAACAGCGGTGGTTGCGGAAAGAGACATGGAAGGTGGGAAAAGCCGCTGCAACTGGAGGGGGCTTCCCTTTACCTTGACTCTGGGCTTCATCCTCGCGTTAGCCCCGCCGATCGCCCACAGCCGGAGTCTCCGCTTCGTGACTTTGGTGAGCAGCCAAGAAACCGGGCGGGAGGGGGCTCAGTGTGGAGGCGCCCGCGGGCAATCGTTTGGCTCAGGTGACACGTCCCAAGGGTTTTTAAGGAAAAGGGGGAAGGAGACGAATCTGTGGGCTGCCAAGAAGTTCACCGTGGATCCATTTTAAAAGCCTGCCGCTTTGCAATCCGGCCTTGACCAGCCGCTTTTGTGGCATCGGGACCCTGCATTGGGTTGCGCCCTGCCTTTTCCTTGCAGGTTGCTGGTCTGAGTGGAGGTGAAATCTTCGCGTGTTGTTGCCATCCAAACGTTGCCATGCTCCGCATTTTGCTTGTTGCGGGAACGTTGGAAGGGAAGAACCCAGGGATGATTGACAGGGCTTAAGCGCGGATTCGTGGCGGGAGAGGCTAGTCGCCCGGTACGGCTATCCCGGCTAGTAACAGCAATTTTTCCACCCCCACACACCCCGCGCGCATTTGAAGCTAAATAACATTTTCCCCAAACCTAAATTAGAACTGACACAAGCATGTTGAATGGGCTACGCAGAATACATATATTTCTGATTTCCTCCAGTTGTATCGGCATGGAGATCGCTCTCCGGTGAAGACATATCCCCGAGATCCCTATCAGGAAAGCGCCTGGCCCCAAGGATTTGGACAGCTGTCTCAGGTGGGACTCCCAAAATAAATTGCCAGTGGGACTTTAAAAAGCAAAGGGAACTACTATTTTATTTTTTTTTGAAACGAGGAATGAACAACCAACTGCTCTGTCAACAAGTGTCCCGCAGGCACTTGTAGCAACAGTTTGACATTTCCTATTTTGTTCTTATTTTCCCCTCTCCCTTCTGGAGTGCTTTTTTATACAACGTTCCTACTTTCTTTGCTGTCCGAAGAAGCAGTAGTATTACTCAAAATCCAAGGAGATTATCAGTTGTTAGAATTAACTAATAAGTTTATTATATTGTAAGAACCTAAAATTTTTAAAAAAGGAAAGAGGACAGAAAACAGATCTTTGAGGGGTTGTTCTCTCCATTTCAGTAAGTTGTTTTGTTCAGATTTCCTCCACTGAAAACATCTGAGCTGTAAAGCATTCTTTTTACTCTGTGCTGTTTTGTAAAATAGCAGTTAAGGCCTGCTTAACTGTTAATTTGTCCCCATTGATATGAATAGGAAGGGATGCGGCAACAGTGGGACCTGGGCCGAGCTCTTCGTAGGCGTTACTATGAATTCCTGAATGCTTCATACAATAGGCAAGAGGTTGGTGCATTCCTGTATGATTAGCAGTAACAGTACACCTTATTCTTCTTGCTCCTTTCATACATTTTGCATAATATTGCTTTACCCTGAAAGAGAAGAGGTATGTATAGTAATTTTATTTCCTAGTTTAATCTGTTGCATAATGATACATTATATTGGAGAAAGACATTGAATGATGTCCCACAAGGAAGAGGGCTAAATCAATATTCATATAAATGTCTTGAGAAAGAGATGGAGGTAAAACGTATTGGTTACAGGTGATACAATATTGGATAGGATAGTTAATACTCTACAACTTGGCAACGTTAAGACTTTAACTCCCAGAATTGTGGACTTTAACTCACAGAATTCCCCAGCCAGTATGAAGTCCACATATCTTAAAGTTGCCAAGATTGGAAACCCTTACCGTAGAGGACAAAAATAAAATTCAAAATAATCTGAACAATCTAAAGAAATGAGCTGAAAAGACAAGTATATAGTTCTTTACTTATGAAACAGAAATGAAACGATCACATTTAGTGTGGAAGATATCTAGCTTTGGTACTAATGTTTGTGGAAAAAAAGTTTGGAAAAGTAGATGATTGGAAACTGAGTTTAATCTAGCAGTGGGAATATGGGTGCAAAAATTGGAAACCCACTATAGGTTTCATCAATATGACATAATGTCCAATTACATGACCCAATCATTCCACATTATTCTGTGATCCTACCTTGAATCCTGTTTCAGGCATCACTTTATAAAGGAATTAATGAGATCAGAACAGGTTCAGTGAAGACCAGTGAGGATGATTAGAATTAGAAACCAAGTCCTGGGAAAAAAGATTAAAGTGGGCATTTGCCTTAAGAAAAGATGGCTGAAAGGAGATACAGCATTCTTTAGATAACTGAAGGAATATCACACAGAAGGTGGTTAAGATGTGTTCTCTCTCATCCTAATGTGCAAGACACAGAGTAACTGACTGAATTTTTAGGAAAGCAGGTTCCGATTGAATGTTTAAAAACACTTTTTAACAATGACAATGCATCTATTACTCAGAGCTCTCTTTCATTAGTTGTGTTAGGCAGATCACAGATGGTCATCTGTTGGAATGCTTTAATTAAGATTCTTGCACTGAGCAGGGGATTGCATTCAAAGGAGTCAGTGTCCCTTTCTAATTCCACAACCATTACCCAATTATTTATTCAGTATAGTTTATTCAGTATAGTTCAGAAATATTTAATTTAGATTGCATGGACCATCAAAGAGTAATTCCCTTTTTAAAGAACTGTCTTGACACATCTATTTACTTATAGCACAATGTGTTCTGGTCAAGAACAACGTTGTTTTGTAGGATTAATTCACAAATATGTGGACATGCCTGAAGAAAAAGCCAATTCCTATTTCTATGGACAGCTCATTTCCCATAAGTTTACAATTCAGGGAAATCCATAGACTATAGAAGTGGAGAACCTAATTAAGTGACCATCCGTGTTTCTGAAAGACAGCTCTGGGGGTATTTTTTTTTAGGCATTACATGTGCATCAAAGTGTCTTGATTGGTCTGTGAAATTGGAAGCTGATCCAGATCAAAACCACAATTGTTCCTAAAAATCTTTTTCCTGAGATGCATAGCTTGGACTCCTCAATTAAGTTTGTTGGCATTATTCTATCTAGCTTTATTATTTTCTGCTGCACTCAGTGGCTGTACTTTAACAGCCTTACAAATTCTTTGCTTTCCACGATCACTAGAAGACGTAGAAAACCAGATCATCACCATTTAACAGCCCTGAAAGAAATTTCTTGTTTCCTTCTTTTCTTCTCCCCAATAATCCTTTTCAGAATTATGCTCTAGCAGGAGCTTAACCATCTGAAGCAGCATTACTTGAAAGAAATGGGAAGCTTCATAACTTTTCCCTCTCCCAATCTTGTTGCTCTAGATCAGGGGTAGTCAACCTTTGCTCTTTTATGACTCGTGGACTTCAACTCCCAGAATTCCTGAGCCAGCTAAGCTGGCTCAGGAATTCTGGGAATTGAAGTCCACGAGTCATAAAAGAGCCAAGGTTGACTACCCCTGCTCTAGATTATAGCAAATTCTTATGCAAGGTCACTGGGAAAAGGTACTCACATCTATAACAGCACTCTTGAGTGCACGATGAATAACGGAGGGATAGATTGAACACTTGTGGTGCTGCACTTTGAACCACAGCTCTTGCATCGAAATAGTTGCCAGCTCAAGATTTGCGATCTTGATTAAAATAGACCTCCTACGCTTGTTCTTAGATAGCCTGAGTACAGTAATGACGGTGGCACTAAGGTAATTCGCTTCCATTTGCCTTTTTTCTCTGGCAGATCTTTGTTCGCAGTACAGATTTTGATCGGACCTTGATGAGTGCCGAGGCAAATCTGGCAGGCCTATATCCTCCAGATGAGCAACAAGTGTTTAATCCCAATATTTCTTGGCAGCCTATCCCTGTACACACTGTACCTGACAACATGGAGAAGGTGGGTCACTTTAACACGTCAGTGTTGGAAGATTAGATCTGTTTCTGCCAAAATATCTCTCGTCAGTACTTTTTTTTCCCTACTACCTTGAGCTCCACTCTTCTGCCTTTTTGCTTTAATTCCCAGTTATTATGGGAGAGCTGCGAGGTGCAGTGGAATCTGATGTTCACAAAAGCTTATGCCTTATTAATAAAACCTTGTCAGTCTTAAAAGGGGCTACGAGACTCTTTCTGATTTTTAACTGCCAGCGATTTCTTAGCCAAAACAAATTGCTTAAGATATGTAGCTCCTAGAGAAGCAGATTGTCATGAAATTAGTGATTATAAAGAGGCAATTGTACTCAAATTACCAGTTTTTAATCTAATATCAATGTTGCCTCTTTCCAGCTCTTGCGGTTTCCATTATCTCCCTGTCCCCGTTATGAACAGCTGCAAAATGAGACCAGGCAGATGCCAGAGTATATAAATATGACCCTCCAGAATATGGTATATTGCTTTCTATGTATTTGTATACATCATGTGATATTTTGTTTTCTTTATATAATTATTGGGGTCATGGAAAGATAGAAAATATATATATATTTTTTTACTTCTACAGCAATTCTTGAAAATGGTAGCAAACATGACAGGAATTCAGGATGTTTCCCTTGAATCTGTCTGGAGTGTGCACGATGCACTCTTCTGTGAGGTACGTTTTGTGTTTATAAGTTAATCATTTGCTTTCAGTGCTTTTTAAAATTATTGCCTTGGTAGTGTTTGAAATTACCTATGCTCTTACTCAAGAGCTACTTAAATTAGATATCACAGATTGGTGGAAAATGTCCAGGACATGATTGTGCTGTTCAGAAGTACTTCTGTTATTACTCAAATTCTAATTATGGTATACCGTGCATACAATAACTGTATTATAAGAAAGGCTTTTGATATATGACTTGGTTACTGAAAGTGAGTGCATCTTCTCTTTGAAGAGTACGTCTGCATGAGTGTATTTGTTATTGATCCCTCTTCAGACAATCTACTCTGAAAAGTTAAGAGACCCTCCGGTATTGGTGGTGCAACCAAAAATACACAATACTACCTTCCCTTTTTCTGAACAGCAGCTTCTGTTCTATCAGAAAACCTGCAAACTGATTACAGAAAGAAGCCAGAAGTATATATAAGTACATTGTTCCAAACCTCTAGCATGCCTTTCGCTACCTGATAAAAACTCTGGTGTGGTTTTTAATACCATCTATAAAAGATAAAATGCTGTGATGACTGAAGGTCAGAATGAAAAAGGCTTCTCTGTCCAAATCGTATTCCTGTAAAACCTCTGTATGTTCTTCTTCCATAAAAGAGAATTATTTCCTTTCATTTAGGCTTTGCTGTTGCAATATAGATAAACTCTGTTCTCCATATTCTTACTGACAGGTATAATGTCTAATATTAGTGTCTGTAGTTAACGTAGAAAGAGGACTCACTCACTTACACACAGACCCTGATCTGTGCAACAGAAAAAAAAAATCCTCATGCAAACGTACTTCGGATTATATCAGATTAGGGGACATCTTAGTCACATAGCTTTACAAACCACCAGATATGATTTTTGATTTCATGGAGCCGGTAATATGGAAAAGATCCAAATTCTAATCGATGATCTTAACAGTGATAACGATAAGTGGAAATATTACTCCATAAATTAGAGTGATAAATTGATGAAAATCTAGGTTGAATCTGATACTTGATTTTAAATTGACAGGTTCCTTTAACATGACTAATAGAAATGAAGTTAGTCTGCATTTAATATTTGTCAGCAGTAATATTGTATCATATCACACTTTCATCTTAAACCCAATTCCATATTCTCAACGTCCCCCTGCTGCTTCTTTTTACAGAATAATTTGAGGGAAGCCAATTGAAACATTTTACAGGTAGTCCTCAAGTTACGAATGTATTGGAGCCTGCCCATTCCATTCATAACTCGAGGATTCGTAGGAATCTCATACCTTGAACGCAATTCACTCCCAGCTTTTGCCCATGCATTCGCTAATTTAATGCATGGGCAAATGTGCGGCTCGTTAAGTGAATATGAGATATCTCAGGGCTGGGAAGGCTATGAGGGACCTAGTGATGGAACTGGCCACCAGCTTCAGACCACCCAAGCCCCCCGAGATACTTCATGCTCTCTCCTCTGGGATCCCCACAATTTCTCCCCCGCCCAATCCTGGCACACCAGGTCACTTACCTTGTGAAGCCTTTCTGTTTCTTTCTTTGCTTCCGGCAAGAGCAGAGGAAGGCCTCCAGAGGCCCGCTAAAGCCTCCCCCAGCCTCCTTCTGGGCAGCTGCGGCCTGGAAAAGGCCTCAGGTGCGCGGATCAGGCCTCTGGATGCCCACTGAAGCCTCCCCCAGCCTCCTTTCTGGGCGGCGGCCTCTGGAGGCACACGGAAGCCTCTCCTGGCTTCTGTTCCATTCTGTTGCAGAGAACAGAGGCCTAAACTACCGTGAGATCACGCAAGATCAGTAGCGTGAGCTCTCGCACCACTGATCTTGCATGATCTTGCATTACTTTAGGCCTCCATTCTCTGCGAACTCATCAAAGGCCTGGAGCAGCCAAGAAAGTGAAGGATCTCTCGATCTTTGCAAGGTATCCATAGGCCTAGTGCCTAGGGAGACGCAGGGCAGGGGGGGGGGGAAGAGGGAGGGAATAGCCAGGGTGAATGTTGCAGTGCCACTGCAGTCATTCGTAAGGGTGAAAAACTGCCATGGTGTGGCAAGATTCGTAACTTTGGGACTTTTTCATAAACATTAGGGGGCGCTTATTGCGTAACTTCAAATGTTCGCTAAGGGAATGCTCATAACTCAGGGATTACCTGTACTTCAGTGACTTTTCAGTAGTACCTGTGACCCTACACACGCGTACACTGCTATAGAAAATATATAATCACACACACACACACATTTATATCTGAAAATATATCTAAAAATATGTAATCTGACCTAGAACTAAGGAGAAATTTTCTGACAGTTAGAACAATTAGTCAGTGGAACAGTCTGCCTCCAGAAGCTGTGAATGCTCCAACACTGGAAGTTTTTAAGAAGAGACTGGATAGCCATTTGTCTGAAATGTATAGGGTTTCCTATACATGTATAGGGGATTGGACTAGATGACCTCCAAGGTCCCTTCCAATTTTATTGTTGTTGTTGTTGTTGTTATTTCAAATGATGTTAAGCCCTGTTAAATTCTTAAAATGGCTACAAAAATAGTTTTCCTGCTGAAAAAAATAGGACTTATTTGTCAAATTTAAAATTTTCATAGTCAATATGAAATAAACTTTTCCGACTTGAAAGTCTATAACCCTATGTACAAATATTAAATCATTTGGATATTGGGGCTATTATTAATATTTTGATGAAAAATTGGCTACTGTTTAATAATTACTGAATTATGTTGGGTTTGTACATTATTCTTCTCCTTCACCACTCCAGAATTGTATTAAGCTGACATAGCTCTGTGATTTTAGGAATATTTACATTCATTCTCCAAAGGGCAACCAACCTTTTTCTTGTGGTGTCTTTCTAGAAAATGCACAAAATGCATCTTCCAGCATGGGTAACTCCTGTGGTGATGGCCAAACTGAAGGAGTTAAAAGATTTCAGTTTTAATGTCCTTTTTGGCATCCATAGACAAGTGGAGAAAGCTCGTCTGCAGGGTGGTAAGTAAAGAATAAATATTTATTCAAGTAATGCCTGGGGAGTGTCTAAAAGAGATTATGATCGAGGGTTGTTGTTTTTTCTTACTATAGGAGTTCTTTTGTCTCAAATAAGGAAGAATCTTACCTTAGCTACAAAAGACTCAGCACCCCACCACCTTAAAATGCTTATGTACTCAGCGGTAAGTTTGGTGTGTTGAGTCAGCTACCTAGTTTCCTGATCTTACCCTCTCTCGTCATTGCAAAAAACCAGATCCAGAGACTGTCAGCATCTCCCCTTCTGTAATACACTACGAAATACTCTTTGTTGTAAGGACAAATGCTAACTATTAATTACATTCTAGAATCCCTTTTGTTTTCATCCCACTGTAGTTCAAGAAATTCTTCATTTAAAATATGTGTTTTAGATTGTCTTCTGTGTACACTAAGGGGAAGATTCACGTACTTCTTTCCTCAGCACGACACCACTCTTGCGGCACTGCAGACAGCTCTGAATGTTTACAACGGGAAGCAACCGCCATATGCTTCATGTCATATATTTGAACTGTACCAAGAAGACGACGGGTGAGGGCTTTGCTCGGGATATCAAAGGGATATAAGTACTCAAAGTCAGCTGCGTGCTGGACTTTAACTTCAGAATATACTCAGAAAAGACAAATGAGTTTAAAAAAGAATTACAATCTTCAGAGCAATCCATAGAGTAGTTATCTTTTCCAATCTGTTGAAAACAATTATCACGTTCCACCGGTGCTTAATGAACTTTGATGTGGATATGAAATAATAGCCATAAATATATGCAAGTGCTTTGATACAGCTGTGGACACAATATTTAATAATGAACTATTCCCACTTGACATGATAGCCTGTGATCTGATACAAAAATATACCAGAGAAATAGCTAAGTTGCATAAAGACAGTGCTCTTGTTTCCAAACAGGGGCATGGTCTAACACAGTGATGGCGAACCTTTTAGAGACCGAGTGCCCAAACTGCAACTCAAAACCCACTTATGCATCTTCGAGTGCCGGGTGGGTGTGGCCCACTGGCTGGGTGTAGCCAATTGGGTGGGCAGGGCCAATTGGGTGGGCGTGGCTGCGGTGGTAACGGCAGACTGGGTGGGACTAAAACGTTCAGTCAATCAATTCCAACTTTGCAAGATCTTTTTTTTTCCCGCGACAAGTTGAAATTGACTGATTGAACCTTTTTTTTTTGCACACGGCGGCGGTGGCCTAAAGCAAAAAGGTTTTATAAAACCCAGCTGAAGGCCTAGGACTGGGGCGACGGCACGTGTGCCCACAGAGAGGGCTCTGAGTGCCGCCTCTGGCACCCGTGCCATAGGTTCGCCACCACTGGTCTAACATTTTTAGATTTCTAGTATTACAAAAGAGGTTAAAAGGCTGGATAGAAGGTGCATGCTTCAGTGTTTAGTTCCCATAGAAAATGTCATATAAAGCAGCTGATGGACCATTAATACCCATTTCTGTCATATGTCTTGCTTCCAGTAAGTTTACAGTGGAGATGTTCTTTCGGAATGAGAGTCAGAAGGAGCCTTATGAATTGCAGCTTCCCGACTGTAAACAGCGCTGCCCCCTGCCTCAATTCCTGCAACTTACAGAGCCAGTTATTTCACAGGACTGGAAACAGGAATGTCAGATAATAAGCACAATGAACGACACAGGTGAGTGAGGCTGGGTGAATCTGAAGGAAGAGTCATGTAAGATTAAACCATTATAATCAGGATGGTTTTTTGTTTCATTCTTTTGCAGAATTTGTTATGATTTTGGCTGTCTGTGGATCTCTCCTGTTCTTAATGACCATTCTGCTCCTGACAGTACTCTTCCGTGTGAAGTCCAAGCCTCCTGGCTACAGCCATCTTTCCAGTGAAGGGGAGGAACAGCCTTGACGATTGCTTCAGCCCCTCCTGAGGCAGCAAGAGGAAATAGAGCTGATCTCAGGGACAAATGGGGCCTCATTCAATGACTAAACATCTTCCTGACCGATTTTGATCATGCTTTTGAAGCAGAAGGGTTGACAATGGAGATGTTGCAACTAGCAGATGCATTCTACCTACCACAGCATAATGCAAAGTTAATTGCTAGGGGTAAAATGCCAACATGGTCTTAAGATTGCTATTTCTCAGCGTGTGATCAGTTTAACAAGAAGGTTATGTTTTTCTTTCTCTAAACTCAATATCCTGTCTTGTTTAAAAATGGCACAAAAAGTGGCTCTCTGCTCCTTAAAAAACCTTCAGTCTAGTAGCTGCCACTTGTAACTGTCTTTTACACTGTGACAGTGGCATGATGCTTAAACCAGCAATAACCAATTGCTTCCACCAAGTCAGAAATTCAGAACAAAATGGTGGTTTCTATTGTACAAAACAGCCATAGGAAGAAATCTTAAATTCACTCAACAGAAATTGCCATAATTGGATCCACTGGTTTCGTGGAGAAAGGTTTTTCCATGGACCGAAGAGTGCGTGGTTTTGTGTGCTGCCTGCATCCCACAGATGGGGCTTTGCTTGTTTGTGCGGCCCAGTTGTTGGCATGCCGTGGCCCGGTACCGGTCCACAGACCAGGGTTTGGGGACCCCTGCTGTAAGTGCTTTACTCTTAGTCTTTAGATACTCAAGAGATAGAACAAGTGGCATTAGATTCCTCCCTGCCCTCTAACAGGAAAGGGATTGATCAAATATATGCATTCAAGCCATTATTTACATACCTGTGATACATCATGCACAGTACTCTGGACAAGAAGAATGTTAAAAGAACACGTGCTTTAAGAACACACTTTCAAAGGTCTTAATTCAAATCTCTGTGGTAGAAATATTGATGTCTCTGGTTTTACATTCCTAAACTTCATTTTGAAACATGCTGCTGAAGTTGAAGACAAGATAACTTTTAACTGAGCAGGTTCTACTGTTATGTAAGATACAGGGTCCTATACATTTGGGAGATCAGCAGCTCCCAAATCTTCCCTTGCGTGCATTCCAATCCACTGATGCTGGTGCCAGGCATTTTCTCTTGGCTCTTGCTTAAACCCTTTTAACTTTGGGCCCAGTTTTTTCCTTTGGCCTTCACTGATTGTGCGTCACCTCAGATTGTATATTCCTACTTGACACAATGCAGGGCAGCACAGATGTCTTTCTTATTCCTCTCCATGAAGAGAAAAATGTACTACCTCATCAAAAATATTATATATGGCATATAAAAATCACAAGGCTATCATTTCAAAGATTCGCTTACAAGATATAGCCAATTTCTTACTGTAAACAAAATATTAGTTCACATTTCAGAGAACAGTGCTTTCCTTTAGATCTGAATTCTATATGACCCGAAGTGCTCCTGAAGATGTGCAATGTGATTCCTTCGTCCTTGAACAGTGGCGTCTGAAGATAAGAACCCATAGTATAATTGCCACATAGGCCAGAAACCAAGCACTTTTTAAATTACCCCCCTCTCAAATACAAAACGAAAACCCCACACTCTAAAATTATTGCTCCAAGTTTTCTAACAAGTTCCATAAAAATTCTCTTTTTTATATTTCCCTGCAGGGCAAATTTCTACCATATGGATGCTTTTTTTATATCTTCAACTGGAACGCAGCCCGTCAATTTGTTTGCAATATCAGGACTAAATGCTAAGTACAGTTCCCCCACCCTTAAAGAAATCCATTCTCTTTTCCCTTAAAATAGACTTCTTAAAAAGAGCAATACTGGTTACTTACTGTAATCAAATACATCTAAGTATACAAAAACGCCAGGAGATATAAAGTAAAAAATGTAATTGTGTGTTTTGCATTTCCTGGGCTGAAACAGTAGCAATCCTACTCTGAGGAGATACTAAAAGTCCAGCTTGGTCATTACAAAACATTTCACACATTACATTTCCTCTAAAGCCACTGCATTAGTATCCTGTTACTAAAGAATACACAAGACAATTGCCAAAAAAAATACCCAATTCCATTTGAAGTTGTCTTATTTTTCTATTGAAACTGTATGATTATGCCTCCTGCAGGGCAGGATGGAAGATAGAGCCAAGAGAAACTCAGATAAATCACTTCCAGAAATGAATCAAGTCAATTTATATGCTAATTTCTTGCAAGCTAAGTTGTAAATAAAATGGGAAATAATTTGCTTTGGTACAAAATGAGGAAAACGACTTATTTCTTGAGACTAAATGTTGCTGTAATTCACTCGATCACTTTCTTAATGTTTTCATTAAAAAATAAGATTGGACTGAATTTTTGCTCCTTTTTTTGTGTTGTTCTCTTTTTGCACATTTCTAACAGCTGGACCACAAAAAAGATATAACCATGGCAACTTTTTGTATTAAAATCAATTATAGTTAGGGAATCTGACATGGGACCAACTTTCCAATAAATAATCCAGTCTTGATTTTTTTATGTATTAAAGTGGGAGTGCTCTTACTCTCTATTGCCCTAGAGACAGGGCCAGAACACTAGGTTATACTACAAGCATGGCGGCTCCTGTTAGACATCAAGAGCTTCCTGATTGTACATGTCATTAACCAGTGGAACAGACTGCCACATGATATTAGTTCTCTGAGGCTAGATGGTAAACTGTTAGAGATGTTCTAGTGCAGGGCTTTTCAACCGGTGGTACGCGTACCACCTGTGGTACATTGGCACCTGGCAGGTGGTACGCGACCATCCTAGAAAAGTAGCGGGGGAGGGGAATGAGGTGAACCGGCGCAGCACCGCACAAGCCTGAGTGAGAGACGGCTGGAGCTGCAGGGCTGTCAGGGCTCAGCGCCGCTTTCCAGCTGATCAGCGCTCAGTGCCAGGATCAGCGCCAGGCTCCAGCTGGAGCTCGGCGTTGATCCTGGCACTTCCGCTGAGCCCTGGCAGCCCCGAAGAAGCACTGATCAGCTGGAAAGCGGCACTGATCCCGGCGCGTCTGCTGAGCCCAGAAGCGCCAATCAGCTGGAAACACGTGCGCAGGTCTGGGAGAGGTGAGCTGAGCCAAGCCACGCAGAGGCAATGATGAGGGAGGGGAAGCCTTTACCCACCACTGCTTGCCTGTTGCTACCTCTTCCCGGAGCCCCTGGCAGTTTAAAAAAAAAAGCAGGGGAAGGAGGGAGGGAAGAAGAAAGGAAGGAAGGAAAGTCAGGGAAGGAGGGAGGGAACTTGGATATAAAAGGGGGGGAGAGAAATTTGTTAAATGAGCGTTGCCCCATTTTACGACTTTTCTCGCCACAGTTGTTAAGCGAATCACTGCAGTTGTTATACATTAGTAACATGGTTGTTAAGTGAATCTGGTTTCCCCACTAACTTTGTCAGAAGGTTGCAAAAGGGGATCACATGACCCTGGAACAATGTGACCATCATAAATATGAATCGGTTGCCAAGCATGCGAATGTAAATCACGTGACCCTGGAGATGCTGCAACGGTCATTAAGTGTGAAAAATGGTCATAAGTCACTTTTTTCAGTGCCGTTGTAACTTTGAACAGTCACTAAGCAAACTGTTGTTAAGTCAAGGACTACCTGTACTTTAATCACTTTTTTCCTGGTTTTTTTGGTCATCAAGTTTTTTGACACCTTGCTAGGTGACTGGTGGTACTCGAATGTTGCCATATTCTAAAAGTGGTACAATCGGTGAAAAGGTTGAAAAGCCCTGCTCTAGTGGATCCTGCAATAAGGGAGTTGTATTAGATGACCTTTATTGTTACTTCCAACTCAATGATTAAATTATACTGCATAAAAATTAATGTATTTCTAACAGGCCTTTGAAGCTAATAAAGAGCTCTATTTCCCTCTATATAAATGTATACAATATACATTTATATATCGTATAGAATTCTTATCTTGAAATCCTTCTTTAAAAAAAAAAGCAGTATCAAGCTTATAAAAGAAAATGAAGGGACAAGTTAAGATGAGTGGAGCACAACTCCCCAAACAAGACTCTGATCATTCATTCAATTTTTATTAAGCTTCTCAGACCTATTCTTTGAGCAGGCTTATGTCCTAGCATGTTAGCTTCTCTGTATAACAAAATAATTTCTGATACAAAACCTTATTAAACATATTATTTTTGAACAAAAGAACACAGTTAAGTGAATCACAAGAATAATCGTTGCAAAGTAAGGTACCTATAGCTAGTTGCCTTCTTTGTACCTCTATATATCTTTTAGACAGTTTTACAAATCTCACAAAATTACAAATACCTGTGTCTGAGAACACACAAATTATGTTGCTCCTTAAAACATAAATGCTCTTATTTTTAGTGAGCATAGGACAAGCATAAGATTGTTTTCAATATATTATAAAAAGAAAAGAGCCAGTTCCGAAAATATACTGCAATCTGGATTGTTAGCATACCTTTGTGCACTGTGCTTTGTCTTAAACAATTAAAAGCCTTCAGGTACACACAACAGAATGTGGGGTTTTTTAGCTCATTTAAGGACATGTATATATATATATATGCCTTATGCCTTGGATAATAATGGATGACTCAGTTCTGCAACATAATTTCCATCATTAAAGAAGATGGTCTAATGTAAAGGGCTTCCTTCTGAAGTCAATGTTGCAAGTTAGGCCAGCGGCATTAACTTGGCTCCAAGCAAACAGTAGTGACACAAGCCTGACTCATGAGTCCTCCGGATTCTTTCTTCTCTTAGTGTGCAGTGTGTATTCTTTGCCCTTTGTTTTAGTGTCCTCAAATTCAGCACTGAGCAGTTTAGTTTTGAATTTGTTTGTTTCCGTGTTTGATTGTCTTTGCCTCTGTCCTCTTTGGTGGAGTACATTCTTAAGCCCAATTTTCTGCTCTTTCATAGCTTGCATGAGATCCTCCTGCTTCTTACTTATCATCACTTCTCGGTCCCATATCAGAATATTAAAGCCTGTCAAAAAACAGAATCGCACTCTTAGGAATTCAGCCTTGGATAACTTATAAACCACGTAACATTTATGCCAGGAGCTCAGACATGGCTCAGTTTTTAAAACTGGTGTTTGGTGCCAAGTCTGCAAAGGGATTTTAGAGGAATACGATTCCAACAATTAGATAACTGAAGATCATGTATAATTTATCTTGCCCAACACAGCAAAGACTAGTACTTTTAAGTAACGAAGCTTAAAGTTCAGTCTCATTTTTTTCTATTTGGTTCACTTTTATTGTCTTATTTTAAAAACAAATTCCTTGTGAGTACTGGCCTTATATTTTCCAGGATCAATTATGGGGAAAGATTCCCAATTGTATAAAAATCTTTTGACCCAAAGTAATTAAACTGGATTTTTTTTTCTTGTTTCAAGAAAATGCTTCAATTTCAAAATTTATTTTCTCCTTCCTTCTTAAAACATTATTATCTGAAAGGTCAACAGATGGCAGCAGTTCTCTGTTTCCTAGATAAGTAACTCCTAATAACTAGGTGGATATATCCAAATTTTTTGGCAATAATATAAAAGTGGTTTAACATGGAGATATTATGGGGTTTTTTTAAAAAAAACTTTCCAGTTGAGCTATGTAATTTTCTGATGGATTCTTCTTAGTTTTTCAAGATGAGCTGTGGCTGGGTGCAACCATTAGACCAAAAAAAAAAACCCCCAACAAATAATCAAAACCCTCTTGATTCACGACAATTCATGGAACACGGTGCCTTTGAATGTATGCCCCATTATCTTTTACTAATTAAATTTTTAATGATACAAGAAAAGCAAGATCTCCGGCCAAAAGGAGCACTGAACATTATTTTATACGTTATTTGCTACCATCTTTAGGTAGCTGAAACAACTATGGGAGGTTAAAAAAAACCTATTTTAAAAAAAACTGTTTAAGAGTTCAACAACTCTTTTTCATGCTATATGTCAATGTACAATTAAAGCTAAGGTAGGCTTAAAACATTATCCTGGATAAACCGATATATGGCTGGAACAGAGCTGGTCTATGCTCAAACAAAAAAGTGTGTTTCAGGTGAAATAGAGCTGGATTGTTCAAAATATAAACCAAATTGCAACTGTTCTGGGCAAAAGAGATTTGGGAGAGGAGAAGAAGAAGTAAAGGCCAATAATACATATAGACTTCAGGTGAGAAAAGACTAAGATCAGGAGTCGGCAGGGCAGCCCATAGGTGATGTCAGAGAAGAAAAAGGGAGCAACATCAAACCTTTCCTTACTTACCTCATAAAATCCCTTCAGGATCCTTCCAGTTTTTATTTAAACTGAAACTAAGAACATCCAAAATATTCTAGTTTTTGTTTCTGTCAATCTGTAGTCAAACCAAGTAGGCCAATGGAACCTCCAGAATGTAGTATTTTATTGCAGGTTCAACACATTTCCTATTTTGAGCACACCCTTTTACAATATTAAAGCATTACTCCTCTATTATTTTCAGCTATTGCTTACTAAGTGGTAAAAAATATTTAAACGTAATTAAACATATGGTAAAGTTACAAATACAGTCAACAGTTTTAAGCCTGTACTGCAAATGTTTCAATTCAAATGGTTTGGGAAGAATGCCAAGCCACTACGCTAAATATGAAAGATTAAACTGCTTGCTTACCCATTCCTGAAGCCAAGGTGTCGCCCATGGGGTTAAACTTATTGAGCTGCAAATGTACACACAATAATGCATTGTAAGCTTGTCAGCTGTCTACTTATCAAGCAAAACAGAAACCAGAACATTCTGAACAGTACAGAAAAGCCCAACAATGGTTGTGGAAAAATTCTGAACGTCAGCAGAGCACTAGAATAGGAAGATCTCCTTCCTGCCCTATTCCCCGGCTATTCTATCTGTTTCAGCACCCTGGCTCGTGCCAGAGATAAAGGAAGTCCTTGCCCTCAAAGTTCATTCGAGAAACTCACTGGGAATCCCAGTTCATTTCATTTTGAAATCTAATTTGAAAGCATAAATCTCTGGAAACAGAAATTAAAACATTTCTTCTACCTCAAAAGCCAATGAAGCTTTCAACTAGAAACCATTCCCAGAACACAATTACATGGACAGCACTAAAGTTATCCATACTCTTCTGATTAAGTTTCCACTGGGCCTTTTAAGGTAAGAATAAGGGATCTGGGAACTCTAGACACTGCTGACACCACATATCACCAGCCATGCATGCTAGGTTGGGCTGCTGAAAGCTATAATTCAGTAATGCCTAGAAGGCTATAGATTTCCACCTACCCATCTTAAAAAAAATAGTCTAAGAAGCAAGCAAGAAGCCAACCTTAGACACATTATTCTATCTACTACTAGTGCATAATAGGTATTAATGATAACATGTAGGTAAGAGAGGAATTTATTCTCATTCCTTTCTTTTTTTTTGAATCCCAGATCCTGTGAGAGCATAGCAGCTAACTTTAAATTAGGTCTCAACACTCACCGAGAAAATGCCCGATGCATTTGGATCGTGCAGTTGGCACACCATCTCTCCACTGTCTCCATCAAATATGTCAACAGTTCTCAGCTCATCTGCTGTGTACCCTGGGAACTTAGGGTCTGGATAACGACCAACCACAATGAGATCATAACGAGGATGCCACGTTGCCTACAATACAGAAGACATGAGTGAGCAAAATCACTGATAAAATTTTACAGCTAGCGCACAGAAATAGAACTACAAGAGCATTAACTTTTTCAAATGCTGGGACTCAGATTCAGTTTCTGCATCATGTTGTAAAAGCAGAATTCCACTTGATTTTTATCAGTACTACACCTGGAGCTTGAATATAAATTCTTACCTTATGTAGTACCCTACATAAAGCTAGTATGTATTTTAGTTGGAAATACTTATATATTCTAAGATTAGAGAGCCTGTTTGGTGTAGTGACAAGGCATTAGGCTAGGAATCAGGAGACTGTGGGTTCTAGACCCACCTTAGGCACAGAGCCAGGTGGGGGGCCTTGGGCTGGTCACTTTCTCTCAACTCTAGGAAGGAGGCAATGGTAAACCACTTCTGAAAAATATTGCCAAGAAAACTGCAGGAATTTGGCCATGCAGTCTCTGGGAATTAGACAGAATTGAATAGGAGAAAAAAAATCTGATTGTTAATTAATTAAAGAACTATTAATTCTTTACCACTTACTTGGTTTGCACTACACTGGCTTCTTTTAATGACACAAAAGTTGTACAGTATGCTGTTGCACGCATTTGCAGTAAAATAACATATGAAAAAAATCTATGACACAGGTCACCGACACAATTTCTTTTGGCTCAAGGACTCCATTAGCTTTTCATGGCATGTTGAAGGACACACACACACCAAAGCCAAGTAAGTCCTGGGTCCTTTAGAAAGGAGATTTTAAAGGATGAAACAGCTGCCTTAAGCATTTTCAAAGCTCTGTTTAAAAATCTCCAAAATTCCCCTAATGTAAAAAAAGAAAAGAAAAAAAAGAAGACATTTTGGACCCCATTTATTCTGAGAGAGCTCTAGAAGCCACACAAGGGATGGCGGTGTGCTGCATGCAGCAAACAGATTGTACTTTTTTGTAATTTTGATATCCCTTTTCTGGATGACTAGATGAATGTCCCTGTTTGACAATCACATTTCCAATTTCTATAGGGGAATTGTAAGTTGGCGTTTTAAAAACATGCTTCCATCAGAAATGATTCCTAATTAATATTCCTGTCACCTTGATAGGTGTGAGATGCTGGAACTGCCTATGGGGATGTGAAATTGAATGCTGTGGTTTGGACCAATCCGAAGAAGAATAAACCCGGATTTCATTGTGCTGATCTGTACTCAGTAGCTTAGCACCATCTGTTGGGCTGAAATAAGCTGCAGAAAAACACATTAAAAAAATGTAAGTCATAGCGCTGCACCAGGCTAAAAAAATATTTTCCAAGAAATTATTATAGTATTTCCTAAAGGTTCAAGTAATAGAGTATATTTCCATATTCTTAGTATTATAAAACATATGTATTTCATTAATATAACTATTAACATCCTGAGTAATTTTTTCAGAGTATGAAAACAGACAATGCAACAAGGAGATCTGTTCTAAATAACAAAGTATAATATAATGATCAGTTCAGATAAAAATCAAATGCTGAATTTTACCGTTACTTCCTTTTTATCCAACAATCCTTTGAAATTTATAATCTATACAGGGTTAATTGTAAATGCAAAGAAAAATAAGTGGCACTGTGGATAGAAGATGAACAAAAGCCATAGGACATTGATATTTTTTTATCTCACCTGCATTGACAGCTTTATCATGCTGAAGTACATGAAGACAACTTGATTTATCCTTAAGATTTCTCAGATCCCAGATTTTGACTGTCTGATCTACAGAGGCCGTAGCCAGCAGCCAATCACAGTGAGAATTAAACTCCACGTGAGTTACTTTCTTTTTGTGCAGCTTCAAATTCCATATCTACAGTGGATATAAGAGAAGGCAAATATTTTGCTATTGTAGAGCACAAGATTCTGGTCTTTGGATATTAGGCAGAGAAAACTCATCCTCACATCCCACTATGTTAATAAATATTTTTAAGGGATGGCCTTCGTTCCTGGCTTGTTGTGATGGCAAATTAAAACCCATCTTTAGTTGTTCTACTGTTGATATGATGCCTCTCCCAATATGTATTACTATATGAACAATCTACAATGCCTCAATAATGAAGCTAGAGATAATGCAGTCAGAGGCAAGAATCCACCCAATCCTACTGAAAACTTAAGTCTGCTCATTCATTCATTCATCTATTTATTTTATGCCCATCCACTGACTCACATGAACAGGGCCTCTCACTACCTATCAGTCATCCAGATTGAGTAAAACAAGCATGGGTAGAATGTGTGTCATTTATTGCAATAAAGGATTGCCTAGCAGAAGAGAAACACAGCTTGTTTATGAGATGCCAAATTATGACTGGACTGCACATAGCAGCTCAATGCAACATCATAGAGTCTTTAAGACACTGTTTTAGAAGACGTTCCATCAAGTTTCGATGGAATATTATTAGGCAAGTTAAAAAATGCTGAAACAAACTAAATAGTTCTAAAATCCTTAAGTTTATTTTGTTAGGGAAAAAAGAAAATATACAAACCTGTTCACCTTCAGTACTAAACAAAATCACATTCCCTACATTATCTCCTGTTACTACAGTCCGACGAGTTGCAGATACATCAACACTGCAATACCAGAAACTAAAACAGAAATAACAGTTATATTTTATAACGAGTAGAAATGGCAGTCAAAGAAAACCAAAAAGAAGGACTTAAAAATTGATAGAGTCACAACTGAATTGAGTCTGAAGAACCTTATTTTGATATGGGATTGGCTGGAGTTATTTACCAAGAAGTGTTCATACCAAAAACATATGAAAGCTTTAGCATATAACTCACAGAATCATGTAATAAAAGTCAAAGGCTATGGTGTACATCTTTATAGGCATCACGTGGAAAAATTAAACTCATGCTCAAAGCATTTACCATATATTAAATAGCTGGTTTTAATTCGAAATATACAGGTAGTCCTCGACTTACAACAATTCATTTAGTGATTGTTTAAAGTTACAACAGCACTGAAAAAACCTGGCTTATGACCGTTTTTCACACTTATGACTGTTGCAACATCCTCATGGTCACGTGATCAAAATTCGGACACTTGGCAACTGACTCATATTTATGACGGGTTGCAGTGTCCCGGAGTCATGTGATCACCATTGGCGACCTTCTGATAAGCAAAATCAATGGGGAAACCAGATTCGCTTAATAGCCGTGTTACTAATTTAAACAACTGCAGTGATCCACTTAACAGCTGTGCAAATAAAGGTTGTAAAATGGGGCAAAGCTCACTTAACAATTGTCTCACTTAGCAACATAAATTTTGGGCTCAATTGTGATCGTACGTCGAGGTCTCTACCTGCAATGAATAATCTTTAGGAGGGATAGATGAGATTCAAATTTATGAAACAAAACAATGCAGATTAATTTAACATCTTCAAACCAAATCACAACTCAGGTTGCAAGTAAAATTGCTGCTAGTTTTTTTAATAATTATTTAAAATATTTGAAAAAATCCAAATTTAACATTCTATGCAGCTCTGAAATATGAGGTCTAACATATATATCCATGTATTTTTCCTTCAAATATTTATTTTGAATATTTATTCAATTATACACTGTGAATTGGCCCTTGTAGGCTTTATATTAATCCACAAGGCAATAGACAATGAAAAGGCAAAACTTTAGAAAATAGTTTATTGATTTTTCTACCATTATAAATTGCTACCCAAAATTGTAGCATAGCAGCCTGGAAAGTCACAACTGATGTTTTTGTTTTTTCCCTTCAATCTTTCCTACAGATCAGGACATTTGTACACAGAGAGGGATTTCTTGGAATTTTAAAGGCTTTTTACTACAGATTGCTCAAGTACTCATGACCGCAACATACTGTACTGCTTCATCTTCCAAAATGAAAAGCAACACTACATTTGAAATGACTCATTATTTGGCCACTTATATTCTGAAGCAGAAACATGATACTCCATCCTGTATGTGCAGAAAATAGCTTAAGCAAATTCCAAGAATAGAATAGAATAGAATAGAATAGAATAGAATAGAATAATAACACAGTACCTACAAACGAAGTCAGAGCAAGCTTAATAAATAGAATAGCAATTCTCTCTTCCTTCGTTCCCAAACGTGGAATTTATGACTACAGGCTCATACATCAGAGGCTACCAGCTGCTCGGGCCTCAGACTAAGAATGCCTTCTCCGGTTGCCCTACTGTTTTCTAAACCAAATATGTTAAATCTCAAGCTTCTGATAGGCTCTCTAGAGTCTTTCTGGATTACAGGTGAAACTAGAAGACAAAAACAGCTCTATTGCCAGGGAAGAATGAGAATAGGTAGCTAGTGCTACAATTTTATAAAGAAATTATTAAGAACGCCTATTCTTTTTCAGGCCAAGGATAACTCTTAGCTTCTAAATGGTATGCTGCATCCATTAAAAAAATGGAGTAAAGAAAAGAATGGGTCAGGATGAAAATTACAGCTGAATTCAACTTTTGAATAGTTTCTAGAATGGGACAAGGGATTGGAAAGCAACATGTGACATTGGGACTCGAGGTTGCGATCTCCAGACTAAATAAAATTATCTTGATAGTAGCTACCTAATTAATTCTGAATTTAATTCAGTACTACATCAGTCCTAGCTAATTCATTCCCCTGTATATTTAAATGTATTTTACTTACTTTACAAAGCAAGTACAACAAATACTGAAAAGTGTCCAGTATTACCTTAGAAAACTATTTAATAATATTTCAAAAAATGAGACAACTGTACATCTCAGTAATTAGCCCTTTTTTTAAAAAAAACACCATTGGAGTAATTATTAGGACTTTAAAAAAAATCCAGAACATTTTATATTACATTTTTAGATTATAACACAAGAGTCCCATTCAAAATATTCCATTCGAACAATTGGCATCTCTTCTGATGGAACAAAACTCAATGCGGAAACAACAGAAACTTGATGCAAGGCCCTTACTTCCTTGCTTTTCACTGTGGGTGGAAAAAAATGTGAGGTGGTAGTCCATGCTACATGTTAATTTACCATCAATCTACAGAAGGAATAGTTAAAACAATGATATTTTCTAAATATTTTTTTTTCATAGCAAACAACAAAAGCAACACTACTGGTAAGAATAATTTATGTAGACTACCTCTGCACAAAAAGTGGTAGAACTGAATCTAGAAAAAAATAACAGATTTACTTCAATGAAACTTGTAAACAATTTAACAGCAGCAAAAATACAGTTTTCTGGATATTTCATTGAAGCTTCTTTCTAATGCGTAAGTTTCCATCATGCATAATGTTTGTGTTTGGTCTTCTTGGAACCAAACCAAGTTTTTGTTATCTGGCAATCGCAAAAATTCAGCAACACTACCTGTAAAGCATCTATGCTTACTTTTAATGTTTGTTTATACAAGACAACATACAAAGAACAACTAGGACAGCAATATATTACATTACAACTCATGAACTGAGTTCTACATAGCAATATAAAAATAGTAGTAAACATCAGTGCTAGAGGACAATACTCTTTTTATATTGAAAGCAAGCTCTTATTCTCTGAAATATACGTCTAATTATCCTTCATACCCTCCCTGCTGCTTCAAAAGTGGCTCTGGCCAATTACAATTACAATTCTTGTTTCTCCTGTTTTAATTCTCTCTCTAAATTTTTACGGCTTGGGGGAAACTAAAATGAATTACTAAATCAAGCCAAAACGATGTGGAATGAACATTCTGATAAAAGCTCAGAACATTTTATTCCAAGTTCAGAACACTGGAAACAATTTGGACCCTACTAGTGTTACTTAATATCTCACTGTCACTCTTTATCTCACTGTTAAGGGCCATTTAAAATAATACAGAACTAGAATAATCCCAAAAGAGAGTATTAAAGAGGGGCAGTGGTTAGAATGCAGTACTGCAGGCTACTTCTGCTGACTGCCGGCTGCCAAGAGTTTGGCAGTTCGATTCTCACTGGCTCAAGGTTGACTCAGCCTTCCATCCTTCCGAGGTCGGTAAAATGAGGACCCAGATTGTTGGGGACAATAGGCTGACTCTGTAAACCGCTTACAGGGGGCTGTAAAGCACTGTGAAGCGGTAAATAAGTCTAAGTGCTATTGCTATTAAAGACCTCTCTTTTTCAACAGTACAGCATTACATAGCTACAAATACTACAAAAACTCACATTGTAATATTTTATAGCATCTAAATCAGACATGTCAAACACAAGGCCCGGGGGCTGGATGCGGCCCGTGAGGTGGTTTCATGCGGCCCACAAAGCCATCCTGGAAACAATGAGGGAACAGCTCCCACTGCCTTGGCCCTGACCCAGGCCAGCCAGGAGCCAATGTACAATTTTGTGGTGGCCATCTATGCTGAAACACATTCAGTCTTAGTTCCACAAGGCCGTCTAAAAACAGCGAGGAACCAGCCCCTGCTGTGTCGGCCCCGCCCCCTGGGTGCATGCTAGGAGGTGTCACCCTTTGTGAGGAATGAAATGGACCATGCCTTGGCGCTTGCCTGGTCCCACCCCCTTCTGCCAGAGACCCTCAGATCTGTCCCACTCCTGCCCAGGCCCCCACAGGCACCCTTGACGCGAACGATGTAGAGCTGGCCATGCCCACCCAGTAGGCCACACCCACTCCATCCACGCCCACCCAGTAGGCCGCACGCACCCTGGCCACACCCACCCGGCCCCCCGAGGGCAACCGCAATGCTGATGCGGCCCTCAATGAAATTGAGTTTGACGCCGCTGATCTAAATCTTACATGTTCTAAGCAAATCTCTTTACCAAGGAAAATCTCATCTGCTGGTCAGTTTTCATTTTGTTATTTTATACTGATTTTCAACTCTGAGGTTTCTCAAACTGTTTTACTCAGTAGTTTGTCTCATCTTTTCACCTAGCTCCTTAAAGGTACTTTCTGAACTAGAAAAATAAGCACTCTAAAAAGTGACTCAGGAACATAAGTCACCCAAATGCTGAGTGGCACAATGAAAAATAGTCCAATCTTAACCTGTTCCCTTATGGTTATGCTGCCTTCTAATAAAAAAAGCTGAAAGAAGTAGATTGCATCTTACTCCCAGTCATCGGTATTGGCCATGACCCGTATTGTATTGCCATTAAAATCTTGCAAGGCAGTAGTTCCAGCAACTGACGATGTGTACAGCTCACTTGGATTAAAAGGATTAAACTTCATTCCTGTGATAGCCCCTCCAGCTCCAATCTATAGTTAAAAGAAATGGATAAAACACAAAGCCGCTCAAAAATCAGGAAGGAAAAAAAAAATTCTCGTATTATCTGATTAGTGTCAGTAACATAAATATAAAACTACATTTCCCAAAAGATAGCATTCCTGTTTATCAGGCTGTATCAAAGCAAAGAGGCCTCATGTGGGAAGGATTTTCAGCTCTTCTGGCCAATGCTACATCTATTAAAACAACTGTTACTGGAAAAATAACAACAATTGCTAACTTTGACATAATCTGCATCACGGCAAGAGCCCAGCTTCCTCTCAGAATCACTGTATCATATACTGAGTGCTGATTTTTTTTCTTAAAAATTAGACTAAGAAAAAGTCTACAGTAAGCAGTAAAAAAAATGAAGAGAAAATATAATCAATGAAATATGCCAGAGAAGTTAGAAATCTTGGAGTATAAAAATATAAGATAGAAATGAGGTCAGGAAGGCTTCTTCGGGAGCAATAACATGCTGGGTACATGAGAAGTTCAATTTTTATTTGATTATCTTCTCTTACTTGTTTGAGAAGAACAAAACTGGAACATTAGATTTATATTCTTAGTGCATAGGTTCAGTTTTAATATTTTATTCTTTTTTTCAAGTATTACAAGACTGCAATGCTCTTGTCTTCACATGCAAATATATATCCAAACAGTATAAACAGACGCTCACATAAAAGATCTAGGAACATTTTTAAAAAATTCTTCCTCTAATCCAATCCAGACATCAAAATATACTATAGAACTATTACAACCGTAAACCTCAGTCTATAGATGACCACAGTTGATGCAAGGTTTCATATTAAAGCAACATCTTTATAAAGCAAATGAAAAATCTCACTGCATTTACAGGGTATCTCCCATTCATTCAGAGAATTGAGTTGGAAGAGAGAATTTCGGCCAAGTTCAACCCCTTGCTTAGTTAAGTGTATGGACTGTGAAAGTAAAATAAAATTAGATCCAAAAAGATTACAGATTTCCCACTTTAAAATCATAATTATCCAATTTTGAGACATCCCTTCTACCTCATTTCCATTCTTTCAAAGTAAGGAGACAAACAGCCCTGATTCTTCAAAAACAATTTAATTATAACTCACGGCTCTCATCAGCATGTTAATACTAAACAACACTGACTGCTTCAACTTACCCCTTTAATAAAACATGTTTTATTGAGCACTTCGTAATTCCACAAGATGATGTCTCCTCCTTTGGAGCCCACAGCCACCGTGCTGGGGTGCATTGGATGCCATTCCAGAGCCGTAATTCTTCTGTCAAACGGACTTGCTGTTCGGAACAGACGGTACAAGTAGAGAGAACGTACAAAGGGCACCTGGAGACACTGTTGCAAAGACAGTAAGAGAGTGAGATCCAAGCCCCAGTTTTGCATGCACATAGTCTTTTATACATATATGCAGTTGAGAGGAACAATTGTGTAATTGCCTAATTGTATCTTTGGATTCATTTTCCTCAATAAATAAATGAGCAAATGCAATGTTTGTTTGTTTTTACTCATTTGGTTTTAATTGAGTACTCTTTATCTAGTTTTAATGGAAAACAGATAATGTCATGTTTAGGTCATATTTATTATGCAAAATTATTGAACATTCAAAAATGTTCACAAAGTTTTAAGTGCCATTGTAACTATAATTATCTGGTACTTGCTAAGATACCTTGGATCATATCCAAGATAAAAAAAAAAACCAGAAAAAAAATGCTACTCAAATTCTCTTACCCAGAGCACAAGAGACTTGAAGAGATGCTATAATAAATTGTTTGGATCTATTTCTGACTAGGTTGAATCTACTAAGCCAGCGACTCCCAACCTTTTCTATACCCCGCACCCCTTAGAACGCTTCTGATACATTCTCGCACCCCTTACAAAAGTTCAAAATAACGGCAACGAATTATGCATATACACTATAATTTTGAAAACCCAAGTTTTCGCACCCCCCTGGAATATCATCTCGCACTCCTGGTTGGGAACCCCTGTGCTAAGCAAGTCTAATATGTGTCACATCTGTCTTTACAATCTTGTATATCCTACAATGTATTAGATTGGATAGGCATGATTAATTTTTTTTGTTTTAGAAATGGCTACTAATTATTTTAAACAACAGATGGTTACTCATGCTATCACTCCAGTCCACTCAGAGATAATTAACTGATTTGGAGAGTTGATGGGCCAATCAATTATACAGTGTCTGAATTCCTGGCATGTCTTCACTGACTTTCCAAATATCCAAAACGCTTCTTAATGGTTTTATTTTAACTGTATGCTATTTTTATTTTAATTAGTTATTTTATAGTATTCTTCTTAGTTTTGGCAATGGTTTTAATATTATAACATTTCTTAGATGCATTGGGTTCCTTTTCTTTTCCTCCTGATTCAAGTTGTTGAATAAACAATTGTTTTTAATAAATTATCTATTGACAAGATTTTTTTTTCAGTAGTAATGAATCATACTATGTTTAAGAAGGTTCATTTTTTTTAATGCTGGTTATTGTTATTTGCAATTCAGACCTGGAGCTAATCCAGTCATCACTACACATACACTTCTGTATTTTTTTAAAATGACAAGTATATTTGAGTCATGGAACATTAAATAGCTGAGAAGCATATTCAAAAGGAAAAATATTTTTAATACATTAAAATTGATGAGGGTGGATTCTTTTACATCTGATATATAATGCTCTGAATGAGAAAAAAAATATTTTTAGCAAAGAAGGGATTAAGTCAATTAAATAACTGGAAATTTAAAATCTGCCAGGAAGTAGCAATTTTACTGAAAATTTCTAATTTTATAGTTGAACAAAAAAATTGGTGACTATGCAATTTTAGTCATCAAATACAGAGATCATTAGTTCCAGGATAGCATAGTGGTTAGTATTGTGGCTGCAGCAACCTTGGTTTGAATCTGAGTCACGGCAGACAAAAAGGAGAAAGATTTTAATCATAAACACTCTGTTAGATGGTTAAAGAGCTGTGTAATTTTAAAATGTGATTAAAAAAAATTACAGAAACTCTTCCAGAGAATGTGGTTCAGAGAAAGATGAAGCATCCAGTTCCTGGTACTTTAAAGTACTATCTGCTGGTTATAAAATAGCAACAGTTCAACTCTGAAAATATTCAGTTGAATTACTTCTGTTATATACATTTATGGTTCAACCAAAGATAAACCTGAATATATTACAAAATTACTAATGTTGGTTTTACTAATCTTGGATTTCAGGCTGATAACATAACTATGATCTATTTAATTCTTGATCCATTATTAGTTTGGAAAAAAAATAAACTGGAAGTTAAACATTCTTTGAATATCATCTGGGGATTCAATTCAGTGGACATAGTGAAGACTATTTAAATTTGTAAACTCAGATAATTTTTCAGTATCAGGTTCAACAGTTTATTGTACAATTTCTAATTATGCACCCATATTAATGTCATTGAATTTGGACAAAAATATCTCAATTATCAGAGTTACTATTTTAATACTTTTCCCTGGAAGATTCATAATATAGGTTTTTTTCAATAAATAAAAGTTCAGTTAACTTGGGAATCATTCAGGATATATTTAAAGCATTTATTATTCATGGTAAGGTAACAGTCTATTAACTCCTGGCAGAAAAAGATCTACAATTACAACATAGAGCAGTTAAATTAGAAGTTAAAGAAACTGAAAATATATGCCCTAAAACAGAGTAAAGAAACATACTATCTTTTTAGATTTACTAAGTTGCAGTTGGACCAATCACAAACTTTGTAAACAGTATATTTTTAAAACAAATGAAACACTGAGTATTGAAAAAGAGAGAGAAAAGAACTGGAAAGTTATTGGCTCCTTGTTTGAAAATTTTCCAACAATGTAAAATAATATCTTTGGAAAGAGATTCCTCAGCGTTTTTGAATTTCATAACCTTTACCTTCTTAAGCTGTGGTCCAATAGTGCCACCCACCATATTTTGATAAATATAGTGGACAATATTCTTTTGCATTTCCCATGGATGGAAGGCAACTCTTGAATTTCGAACCATGGAGCCAAAACAAGCTTGTCCTGTCCCCAAACAACAAAAATGGGTATATCTGATTACTTGCTTAGTTAGTATAGGAAGACCTCAGTTTTTTGTTTTTGTTTTACTTACACATTAAGGACTACCAACCAGGTCTAAATTCAATACAGTTGGGGAGGAAGACAGAAATAAAAAATGATTATTTAATGCATTGGTAGACGTAAACATATAACGTTTCATCAGCATACTGATACAAAAAAATTAAAATGGCTAGTAGACCGTGTAAAGATGTAGTAAAAAGCAGATGTTTAATATTTTAAGAATGCACAGGGTAAGACATAAGCAAATTTTCTAAAATAGTAATGGCAGAAAAAAAATCACAGAATGTTAAATGGGGATGACAGTATTCAGTTAACTATTAATTTTTTATTCCACTAGCAAATTGAGGGAATTGAGGAATTTTGATCTTCGGGGAGGGAATTATTGACACCTGCTAGGGTGAATTTCTTCCTTACATCCCTTTAGAAATAATGTTACACAGTAAACTGACAGAATTATTGAGAAAACAGACATATTGTACTGAATTATATACTGGAAGTTATTAAGTTTGGAATAAAGATGGTTTTTTCATACTGTCATAACAGCAAAAAAAGAATAATCTTTAGGAGATGGGAAAATACCATAATTTCTGATATGAAGGACTGGATTTCACAGATGTGATTTAGCAATTTTTGAAAAAAATAAAGATTCTATAATCAGAAAATGTCACATTATGTTTCCCTTTGGGAAAAAAAATCTTGGACAGGTTGAGTCAGCACTGAAAGCTTAATTTTTCTTTTTAAATGCTTACTAAATCAAGTGAACTTGGGATATACAGTAGTCGTAATTTTTTTTATTTGTTTTTGTGAATGGGGAATTGTTTATTTTTATTTTATGTACATCTGTTTGAAAATCAAAATTATTTTTAGTTTTAAAAAATTGAGCCACTATAGGATTGTTAGTCTGTCTTCTCTACACATAATCTATGTTTGGTTCTTTATTGTTTCTTGATTTTTAAATATAAACAAGCCACCCAGACTTATAATGAGTTGGGAAAATTCTAAATTGTATAGATAAATAAAGGTTTGACAGAGAATTCCCATTCACAAAAACAAATGAAAAAAAATTACGACTACTGTATATCCCAAGTTCACTTGATTTAGTAAGCATTTAAAAAGAAAATTTAATCTTTCAGTGCTGACCCAACCTGTCCAAGATTTTTTTGACCAGGTGACAAAATTAGTGGACCAGAAGAATGAATGCTTTGGATATAATTTACTTGGACTTCAGTAAGGCATTTGATAAAGTAGACCACAACCTACTACTTGATAAGATAGAAAAATGTGGGTTAGACAGCATTACCAACAGATGGATTCATAGCTGGCTGACCGGCCGTACTCAGCGTGTGATCCTCAATGGAACTGCATCTACATGGAGGGAAGTGTGTAGTGGGGTGCCCTAGGGCTCTGTTCTGGGCCCAGTGCTCTTCAACATCTTCATCAATGATTTGGATGAGGGGATAGATGGGGAAATCATCAAATTTGCAGACGACACCAAGCTGGCAGGAATAGCCAACACTCCAGAAGATAGGCTTAAGATACAGGAGGATCTTGACAGACTTGAACATTGGGCACTATCTAACAAAATGGAATGGTGAAAAAAGTAAGGTTCTACACTTAGGCAAGAAAAATCAAATGCATAGGTACAGTGTAGGTGGTACCTTGCTCAATAGTAGTAACTGTGTGAGGGATCTCAGAGTCCTAATGGACAATCACTTAAAATATGAGCCAGCAGTGTGCTGCAGCTGCCAAAAAAGCCAACATAGTGCTAGGCTGCATTAACAGAGGGATAGAATCAAGATCACGTGAAGTATTAATACCACTTTACAATGCCTTGGTAAGGCCACACTTGGAATACTGCATCCAGTTTTGGTCACCGTGATGAAAAAAAAAAGTTGAGACTCTAGAACAGTGGTTCTCAACCTTTTTAATGCCGCGACCCCAACCGGTCGTAAGTCGAGGACTAAACCGGTCATAAGTCGAGGACTAAACCGGTTGTAAGTCGAGGACTACCCAACCGGTTGTAAGTCGAGGACTTTCCCTGCCTGGGAGCGCCGCGCATGCGTGGTTCCGCCCCCTGCACCGGCCAAGGCGTAGCTGGCAAGCGGCAGAGACGGAGCAGGCCGACCACCAGCTGGCCCAGCCCAAGGGAGGTAAGGCACCCGCCGGAAAAGGGGGAAAAAATGGCGGACAAAAAAAATTGGCGGACAAAAAAATGGCGGACAGCCTTGCTTGGCGACCCCCGTGAAATGGTCGATCGACCCCAAATGGGATCCCGACCCACAGGTTGAGAACCACTGCTCTAGAAAGAGTACAGAGAAGAGCAACAAAGATGATTAGGGGATTGGAGGCTAAAGCATATAAGGAACGGCTGCTGGAATTGGGTAAGTCTAGTTTAATGAAGAGAAGGACGAGGGGGGACATGAAAGCAGTGTTCCAATATCTCAAGGGCTGCCACAAAGAAGAGGGAGTCAAGCTATTCTCCAAAGCGCCTGAAGGCAGGACAAGAAGCAACGGATGGAAACTAACCAAAAAGAAAAGCAACCTAGAACTAAGGAGAAATTTCCTGACAGTTAGAACAATTAATCAGTGGAACAACCTGCCTCCAGAAGCGGTGAATGCTCCAACACTGGAAGTTTTTTTTAAAGAAGAGAATAGCATAGGACAACTTCTTTATCTGCTCTGCCAGGAAGCCAATGCACAGAAAATCAAAGTGAAGCTGCTTCCACATGTTCCACACACATACACGCACACATTCACTATTAGCAATATGTTTGTACCAATGCACAGTACTGCAAGTGCATTTTCTTACTTATTTCTCAACTGGTCCGCACTCCCTCTAGCTTGCCAAAGAGGGAGCACTGAAACCAACAGTTGACTGGTATCCTGCTTTGTTTGGTTCCACAGTGAGGAAAAAAGCAACATTCCTCTCTCCCCACCCAAAAGAAACGAATTGCTATGGCCCAGGGCAGGGGGGGGGGGGGTTAGCACTGAGAGCAGCAAGCAAGCAGTGAAAGAATAGCAATTAGGCTTCGTGGCTCCTTCCCTTCAGCTGGAAAGAAGGAACCTTAAGAACTGGGAGATGGGCTATAGTAGGATTTCCACAATGGGAAACATCTACCCATTTCCAGTAGAAATGCTATAAAATAGACTGTGCAGCATTTTTTTCTGGAACAAGAAACTAGTGAATCTGCAAAATATGCATAGCCTACTGGAAGGTCAATGTCATTAATGGAGAGATAAAAACACCAGTCCTCCACTTGCAAGGCACCTGAGGTATTGAAGCCCACTTTAAGGTCATGGATGAAAAACAGATCTCACCTATTAAAGGCAAGAAAAGCAATCCTTTGAACTTCCCCTTTTTTCTGCCTATCACTAGAACTCACAGCACTGAAAATAGCAAACTAAATGAAAAATACTAGAGAGAAATTTGAGATACATTGCAAGTAATATACATTACTCATAACAACTTCAATAAGAATTGAAGAAAAAATACTGAATGAGTTCTAAAGCAAAGGAGTAGCATAATTTGATTTGAAAAAGGCAAAGAACTAAATTTAGGATTCTACAATATGGAAAATAACAAAATGGACTCACTATATCAAACTTTAGGTTATACAGGTAGTGCTCGACTTATGACCACAACTGAGCCGAAAATTTATGTTGCTCAGTGAGACATTTGTTAAGTGAAATTTGCTCCAATTTACAACCTTTCTTGCCACAGTTGTTAAGTGAATCACTTCAGTTGTTGAGGTAGTAACACGGCTGTTAGGTGAATCCATTGACTTTGCTTGTCAGAAGGTCGCAAAAGGGGATCACATGACCCCGTGACATTGCAACCGTCATAAATATGAGGCAATTGCCAAGCGTCTGAACCTTGATCACATGACTATGGGGATGCTGCAATGGTCGTAAGTGTGAAAAACGATCATAAGGTACCTTTTCAGTGCTTGTTGTAACTTCGAAGGGTCACTAAATAAACTGTTGTAAGTTGAGAATTACCTGTACTATCAAATTATTAAACTTGGTCACAGATTGAGTAATACCATGTAGTTGAATATTTCTACGGAAGAAGTAGAACTTTCAAGAGGCTTGCACAAATCCAGGTCTGCTACAAAAAAAATGTTAATTGCATAACAGGCCATTCAATTATACTCTATTAAAAACAGGGGGCAAACTTAAAAGAAAAATAGACCCTAGTTTATTACCTCTTGTCCTAATACCAAACTACTATTTTTCATGAAGGCAAATATGCTATTTTATCAGTAAAGAAATAATTTATATAGAAAGCAAGATTTAACCTTCATTAAAGAATTAAGTCTTTAAGATTCTCTTTGGAATAGTCAAAAACACATAATTATAATCATTCCAAAGGAACTATGAAAATAAGGTGGTATGATTAGTTTGACAGCACAGAACTCAAAAAATTTATTGGAGCTTGTGTGTGTATGTATAATTACCGAAATGATTTAGAAAATGAAAAAGTCCAAAATTGCATGATTAAACAGATACAGAAATTAAGCAGGACACTTAGTATGCAAAATGGGAATATCAATGGAAGGTAAATATTACATTTACTGTGAATATTATACTCAGAAAAAGTTATGTATGCTTTTTTGTTGGTACATTACTCTTAATATTTTGATTGCTAAAATCAATAATTTCTATTAAAAACAGCTAAAATGGTATAGTCAGGTTAGATCAGTCTTCTATTATCCAGTGGCAATGTTACATAGCTCAGCAATTTTGGAAGATGTTTCACCAGAGAATGAAACCAATTTTAAATAATGACTTTTGTATTAGTTGTTTTTCTGCTAAGTATTACAAAGCCGTGTGTGTGTGTGTGTATATATATATATATTCTATGCTTTTTACTGAAAATTACATTCAATTCTTTCATTAGAGGACTGCTAGATTAAGCCTTGGCATATCAATATTTAAGATAA